AGGGGGGGAGAGAGAGAGAGAGAGAGAGAGAGAGAGAGAGAGAGAGAGAGAGAGAGAGAGAGAGAGAGAGAGAGAGCGAGAGAGAGAGAGAGAGAGAGAGAGAGAGAGAGAGAGAGAGAGAGAGAGAGAGAGAGAGAGAGAGAGAGAGAGAGAGAGAGAAAGAGAAAGGGCACGTCATCAGCTCGTCGCAGCACGCAGACGTGACGGCGAGCTCGCCCATCGCCTACGCGGCATGGCCCGACCAGATCTACCGCGGGACGCAGCGGGGAGAGGCGGCGGCACCACGTGCCGCCCATCGCCTTTGTCTCAGCGTACAGCTGCAGGTACGACTCCTGCGGCAGCGAGGGCATCTCCGCCTCGGTCAGGCCGTCGACGTCGGACCCGTCGAACCTGAGGCACGTGCCGTGGACGTGTCTCGCAAGTCTCGCAACTGGTCTGCCGCTCCACCGGAGCCGCCGGACAGCACCGGCAGCAGGCGCGGCTCGCTCCCACCCGCTCGGGATCCGATTCGCGGGAGGCGGGTATCTCTGCGCGTCACCCTCGGCTGCTGCTCGAGCCACGACACGGCCGCATCTCAGCTACATCTCGCTCGGCAGTCTCTCGGACCTCTCTCAGCTATCTCTCGGCTATCTCTCGGCCATCTCTCGGCTATCTCTCGGCCATCTCTCCACCGTGTTGATGGCGACGACGACATGACAATCTTTGGCACGCCCGCCTTGCGGCACGCGCGCACGACGTTGAGCGAGCCCTCGTAGTTGACCTTGAAGTACAGCTCCCGCGGGTGGAACGGGCCGACCGCGGCCGCGTTGTGCCAGACGCAGTCAGCGCCCTCAACCAGCGCATCGAGCGTCGCCTCGTCGCAGACGTCGCCAGTCACGTACTTGATGCGCTCGTGTCGCCACGCGTTGGCCGGCGGTGGGACGATGTCCAGGCAGCGCACCTGACACGGTGGCGGGGTGGACGTCGCGGATCGCCTGCACCGACGCGAGAAGGGTGCACAGCGGCCGAGCGAGCCTCCACAGCGCCTCGCTCGACGAGCATCTCGACGAGCCGCGCGCCGACGAAGCCGGTGCCGCCAGTGACAACACAGACGCGCGGCACCGCCGCCCGCGGCGTGCGGCTCGCAGCAGCCTGCACGGGGCTGAGGTGGTCCGAGAGGTCGGGCATATGTGCCTTTTGGGACGCCGCGGCGAGCGAGCGATGGAGGCTCAGAAAGGAGGCCGAAGAATAAGAATTTTGCGCGTTCCTCGTCGCACTCCGGGCACGGGACTGGCGCGCACTGGCGAAGAAGAATTTTTACTGCGCACACTGGCACGACAAGGGCGCGGATTGAGGAATACGCATGCTTTGCAACGGGAATGGCGCGCACTGGCACGAATTGCAGCAGCGAGAGAATGACACGTTCTAATCTACTGAGTACCCTTTAAGTCTCTCGTGTCCGCGCCGACGCTCACGTTTAACCGTAGAACGTCCCCCTGAACACCGCCCGCCGACGATCGATCAGTCCACAATCGTCGCCCGCAGCGACCGCAGCGATGGATGCCGCCCCCCCCCACGGCCCCTACGGCCGACGCGCCGATGCACGACCGGCCTCCGTCGGACGGCTCTCCGGCCTCTCCGGCCGCTGCCGCCCGCGCTACTGCCGATCCGGTCCCCTTCACGCTCCGCACAAGCAACGACAACTTTGAGGTCGCCGGCTTTGGCCAGGTGCATGCCCACCACCTGCTTGCCTCCATGTTCACCCTTCGCGCCCCTCCCCCCCTCCGACGCCGCCGTATGACCTTAGGTGAGGGGCACGACCACCCGCCTGGAAGGCGCTCTCATCAGCAAGTCACCCAGGCACCAACTCCTGGGCGTTTACGCTTGACTACGTGGAAACCATGCAGTGGATGCAGGTCGATCAAAACGGCGACGCCAACCGCTGGTCCCTGGGCCGAGGATGAGGTGCGAGCCATGATGCTCGACCCAGCGTGCACCAAGTCGCTCACATTCCGTGAGTTCGTCAACGGGCCGAATCTCCAAGTCGACTGCGATCTCGAACTCCGACAACTGGACCGGTGCACCACCCGCGGAGGACGATGCCTCCCTCGACGACATCCCTTCATCGACGGACGCCTTCACCGCCGCCGGCCCTGGGCGCCATCGCGGCCTCCGACTGGCTGCCGCAGCTCACACCCTAAATCTATCTGCCTTAGGCACGGAGCCAACGGAGCCATCGCGCACGCTCGCATCGCGTGCGGCTCCGAGGTCTCCCGCCGAGACCGGCTCGGCGCGGCTTTGACTGACGTGACTGACTGATGAGTGCTTGCGAGAGAGAGATTTTTAGCAATGCTTGCGATGGATGATCTCCGACACCCAAAACCAAAGAGTAAAATGACAAGGGACTGGCGCC